ATCCCGAGTGCATGTGAAGCACATACTTAGCAAAACCGACAGTAATTGAAAATAAAATAAACATACCTTCTGTTGTATCAATTGATATAATCCTTGCAATAGAGACAATGCTGTATTTGTCGAATACTATATGGGGCGAAGGGCGCCCTCGGGAGTTTTGCCTTTTATGGAAAGTTTGAGGCTTAACGTCTTACTTAAATCACTACTTTAAAAATAAAAGTTCATATTATTAATAGTTTTATTTATAATAAAGTACATGTATATTGGTAATAGACCGTTGTGAAATTATAGTGTTCCAGCAATTCATTTTTTTCCGAAGCAAATACCCCATAGATCACCCCTTAAGTAATATTTTCATACCCGATTAAGCACGATTTTCTCGTGTTTTGTATATCAATGCTTGATACATGTGTCCTATTAATTACCCTGAAGTAGATATTTGCTCTAGTGAGTTAGTAATTGCCCTCTCTAGTACTATCATATGCCGAATCGGGATGACTATTTAATATAGTAATTTTGTGCACTTAAACATTTATAATGACAAGGCTACGGGATAAGTAAAACAGCAAACACGCTGTAGAAATGTTGGATACATTCTGGATAAATTAATGGTCTTCTAGACAATGTGTTAATTCTATAATACTTGAATATTTCAATGTTTTGACAATGGTTTAAAGTGTGCATCATTTATTCAAAAGCCGGCAAATGGCGAAGTAAAAGACAAAGATATAACTGCGCCAGCATTTCTTAACGTAACAGATACATCTATGCCACGGTTTTAATTGCAATTTAAGCAGTGAATAAGGTAACGTTTGAACCGAAGTTACTCTGGTACATTCATGACATACAGGCATAACAAGAGCTGTCACCCAAGTGACAAATGACCCCGGAAAGGTTTCTGAAGCATGCAGGTATTATGAAAAGAAAAGAGAATAAAAGTTACTAATTGCTGAATATTGTTCTTTGTATTATTGTACCTGTAATCTCTCATTGTGATAGCATGAACCTTCAAAATATAAATGTGGCCTTGACCTTTGAAGAAGGGACGTGGATTCTGGACACGACAAAATGGTGATATGAGATTCACATGTGTGCCAAATTATTTCAAAATCCTTTAATGCATGACAAAGTTACAGTCTGGACATGATTGTTGTGTAAGTGGGAACACATGGACAAACGAACACGAGCCTTAGCCGCAACAGATTGTTTTGATGTGGTAGACATTTGTGCCAAGTTATTTTAAAATACTTACATGCATGGCAAAGTAACAATACGGACATAGATGTTTATCTTCGAACTCTTCTCTAGAGAATGAGTACATTCAAACTGTAAGTGTGACATTGACCTTGAAGATAGGGACATGGATCTTTGTCGCGACACATCGTCTTGATGTGGCAGACATTTATGTCAAGTTAATTTAAAATCCTTCCATGCATGACAAAGTTACAGTCCGGAAACGAATCCGTGTACCTATAAACAGTGAACTTCAAAATGGCAGTGTGGCCTTGAACTTTGAGATAGGGACGTGATTATTGGACGCGAAAAATTGTCTTGATGTTGTAGACATGTGTGCCTAGTCATTTTAAAATCACCCAATGCATGACAAAGTTACAGTCCGGACACGAATGTGTGTACCTATTTTCTCTAATTGCGATAATGTGAAACTTCAAAATGATAGTATGACCGTGACCTTTGAGGTAGAGACGTAATTCTTGGACGCGACAAATCGTCTTGATGTGGAAGACACTAGGGTCAATTTATTTCAAAATCCCTCAATGTACGACAAAGTTACAGTCCGGACACGAATTAAGTGGGGACGGACGGACGGTGCGATTATAATATGCCTCCCTTCGGGGGGGGGGGCATAAAAAATGAATGGTGCTACTTTATACTTGTACACTGGTTTTATGATTGCGCAGGCATCATCTCTCCGGCAATCGGATCAATAAAGTATATTCTTACAATGCCGCTGAAGTCCGAAAGCTACTGAACGGGGAATTAAAATAAGTGTTTTTAATCATATACGGAAAATTAGATTTTATCTATTCTTACTATGTACTAGTATATATTTGATCAGTAATTTCCTATTCATATTGACAATAAACTAAGGATCTCCAAAATATGGACAGAAAAATCAAAACAAATTGCATATGCTACAAAAATATATTTATTATACATTTATATGTACAAAAATACACTGATACTTATATGGTACACAATACTTTTGACTATGAGTGATAAAATAAATTAACAAGTTGTACATTTACAAATATGACAAAAGCTGAGAAATTCCATAAAAATGTCATCAAATGAACATATCTGAAAATTATTTTATATTCTTTGTTTCACAAAAAAAACTTTGCTTAAGATCACCTCTGGATCACGACTGCTTTAGGGAAACTGAAAATAAAGTAACATTAACTACTGTATCAACTTTATAACTTATGGCTATATTAGGACATTAACATTGTGGCAAATGATGACCTGTTTGACCAGCCACTTCATGTTACAGAAAGGTTTCACTATAATATTATATATTAATGAAATGAAGTATTTAATTAACAAGTTTATTTAGATCAATGTAAATTAATAACTTTACACAATGATAACTGTACTTTTAATTAATTATCATAAAATAACTGTATAAAATATCAAACCATCATCTGTTGTAGTGACTCAATAACATCAATCAAACATGTTTTATACACTGCTAAATTTGTGTAATGAACCAAAACCGGAACTGAATTTGAACAGTCCATTTAAAAAAGAAGGGATTTCAATATATCAAAAATTTGAGCTGGCAACATTACAGAATCTGGTTCGTTTGCATGATGACCTTGCTTGCTTGATTTCATACTGGTGAGTGACACATAGCTTATCATTTTTGGTTCCAGAAGGTCAAGGTTTTATATATACAGTAGAGATAAAATTATGACAATTATATGCCAGCTTCCTATAGGGTATCTTAGGATAATTCATAAAATAAAAATAAAAATTGATATCTGATGTAGATAAATGTAAATATGATAAAAGAAATGTACAAAATCTTTACCTCTAAAATAAAAAAATAACATGACTGGATGGATGGAAATAATATCATTAGTAAATGACTTCTAACTTGTATGTTCTACAAACTTATCAAAGTTTTCTATTAATTATCATAACTATTGTATGTAGTTTTCAATATGATACAAATGTACAAACTGAAATTGTTAGAATAAATGTTCATGCCAAAAAGAAAATAAATTTTCCTCATTAAATCTTGAGTATATATATATAACATCTCCCAATTTTAAACCTGATACAATAACTAATAAATCTATTACTAACATTTATTTTACCTACAATACTCAAGTTTAATTTTGGTTAACTAATTGTATACTTATTATCAATTATTATCACAGTGAAAAAAAAACATTTGGTTTTAATTCATAGAATTGAGGAATTTTACATCTTTTTATATTCTAGAAATAAAAGAAAAACTTATTTTAAGTAAAGATTACAAATTCTCAATCAGGCTGATAAGCTTAAACAAGTATAATATATTTAATGTTTTATTCTAAGATAAAAGATTTTTTTAATACTTAACACAAGTTTCTATCAAAAAAATTCAATTATTACAGTTTATGTTGTCCTTAAAGAAAATTTTAATACATTTATATATCTACAAAATAAAAATATAATACACTTAAAAAAAACTAAAAACATAATTAAAAATCTTCAAATTCATTACATTAAGTCATCTTCATATTTAGTTTATACTAATTTATTTTATGTTTGATTGTTCATTAGCTTATTGAAACAATCTCAAACCCGTTCCTGGAACCAACCAGTACTAAGCAATGAGTTAAAAGTTTCTTGCTCAAGGAAACAACAGCTTGTCCCTGATGGGGTTTGAACCAACGCGGCCATAAATCCTAAGATTACTAGTCTGATGTGTTAACCACTCGGCCAGACTGTCACAATCTTTATATTTGAAACATAATAATAATAAAAAAAATCCCCTTAAATATACTAACATTCTTACTCCACATTATCATTAACTTATGTTCTTGATTTAACTCTCAAGTTGTAGGGGTCAAAGTGACTGAACAAAGGCACCAGTATAGGACAAGGCCAGTCTGAATATTTGTGCAGCCTGCCCAGGCTATATATACTGTTTGCACCTCAACTCTAGTTTTTTAGTATTGGACTTAAATTTCATAAACATAACAAAATAGATCATGACAAATCCATTATACAACATTTGTTATGAAAGAATTAAGTTTATTATCAAATTAAGGCAACAAAGCAATGGGACATCTATAATAACTCTTATAGTATCAATAGCACATTATTTGATACTTGTTAAAACATAGCCCCCATGATGATAGGGATTTAAACAAAAAAAATATTTTATCAATAAAATTCAACACTGGACTCATCTCAGTGAATACGAGATTTCAGTCTTGTATTAAAGCCAAGGAAAAAAAACAAAACATTATATGAGCCGTGTCACGACAAAACCAACATAATGGGTTTGCAACCAGCATGGATCCAGACCAGCCTGCGCATCCGCGCAGTCTGATCAGGATCCATGCTGTTCGCTTTCATACTCTTTAACAAGTAGAGAAACTGATAGCGAACAGCATGGATCCTGATCAGACTGCGCGGATGCGCAGGCTGGTCTGGATCCATGCTGGTCGCAAACCCATTATGTTGGTTTTGTCGTGACGCAGCTCATATATACATGTATATAATTATATCACTTGGACGGATACAACATTTTGAGACGTTGAACACATAACAAAATCAAATAATTTAAGTAAACAGGTTAAAAAGGATAAAAATATACAGTTCAGCATAGAGTGATATTTAAAAAAAAGAGCATGGTCTGGTGGTCACAATCATTTCATTATGAAATCCTCATGTTGTTATTCTTATCTACTTGGTGACAAAATAATATCACTTTATCCAGATAATAAAGATGTGGCACGAAATTTTTTTTGAAAAAAATAAACTATCAAACTATCAAAGAAAATACAATTTCCTTTTCCTTCAAGTATAAAAATGCTGTTAACATTTCATAGTTAGTGAACAGGTCTACAATGGGCACATTTGAATTTTCCATTAGTGTATCAAATATTGATAAAAACAATATAAATGTATCATTTAAGTAGTCTTATAAAAGAAATGTTGATAAAGTTCCAAGTTATTTAGATTGACCATTTATCTGCTGAAGAATAACATTTTTTTCTAGAACACTTTATCATCTGCTATATAGATACATGTAATATCAGATTATGCATCTCACACTAGCTAAAAACTTCCAAGCATAATTATTTTCATGGTTTGTTATTATGTCCCATACTAAATACTATCAACTTAATTATTCTTTGTTTTACAGACCTTCCATTACAGACAAATTGGCTTTAAAGCTGCAAGTCTCCAAATCAGTGAACAAAGTAATAAAAACTCAAATGCACTAATAAGTATACTTAGGAAATGTATAAATAATCACAGTTTATACAACATTTTACATTTTGCTTTATGCAGTATAGAAATTAATTTAGAATGTTCAACCTTATACTTCTACACTGTTACAGAGTAAGTGCTATCATTAGCATACATGTATTTTTGAAATAATTTTGGAAGTTTGTAGATTCACAACTGTGCCTTATACTAGTTTACAATACTTTGTTCTTTTTATATCTTTAAACTTAACAAAATTGCTCCTAAATTTTCACAAAAATTTGCACAAGTAAGGACTACTGCTGCTTCAACACATTTTCTATTGTATAACTTCTATTATAGGTAATACAGACTTTACAACATAAGAATAGAGATTATAGTAAAGTAAAATATTATTATGTTATTAAATGAATTATGTTGTACAAAGAGACATAAGGTCCACGATACAAAATAAATCAAAACATCTTTCCTTCTGAAATCTACTGACCTGTTAAGCATGCCCTTGAATAAACTTACAATTCAAAAATAAAATCCATTGAAAATGTAATAAAAATTTCAGAGGTTTTGTTTCTTTTTCTATGAGAGTGCATTGTAAAATATGTCAGAAAAGAAAATTCTCTGTACAGTTTCATTCCCTTTTCATATAATCTAAAAATAAATATATTAAAAGTTCTGTTCAAGAAAGAAATTTCGATAAACATACAGGTTCTTTTATCTTTAACTGGTTTCTACAAAAATTATTTAGTTTGATTGTGTAGGAAGCTATAAGCTTAAAGACACTCTTTCTAGTCCGTTCCTGGAAATAACCAGTACTGAGCAATGAGTTTAAAGTTTCTTGCTCAATGAAACAAAGACTTGCCCCCAACAGGGTTTGAACCCATAACTATAAATTATACATATTCATTGTACTGTGAATTTCGAGGGTGTACTCAATTAAGAATAAACTGATATTAGCTTCACCATGAAAAAAGCTTGAATTATATGTCTGTCTGAATTTCACCACAACATGTTTGTTAACAAAAGAGCACATGTCTGTTGTTATGATTATTCATGATGTTTATCTAACAAATGGTCAGCAAATCACAGAAGGAAAATTTTTATACTTTTAGTATACATAAAACATACTTGGCACAAATCTTATGTCACAAATAGATTTCATATAGTTTATCATAAATATTACACAGAATTTTTACACAGATGTCACATACAAGTACTATAGTCTATAATAGAAAATAATTATATTTGAAGACTTCGTTTATACATTAATTTTTTCACACATAACCAAACCCTTCTTAATGACCGTAATACATGTGTAAATATGAGGAGTTTATTACAAAATGGTCTTTTCTCCTCTGTTATTAGATTTAATTTACAATTACTTTACATGAAGTCCTAAAATATTCCTGCTTTTTTTTATAAAGATAACAAAAAAAGTAAACCAAAATTGACTAAACTTTCTTTTTTCCTACAAAAAAATGAACTATGGTTACTTTTGACAATACTTAATCTACAGTAGTTAATCATACTTTTCTAAATTTAAACTACATACAAATTACATAAATTCTATTATTTAACTTATTAAGTTCTATTTGAGCACAATCACCGTAAAAAAATTGTAGAAATTAAACTTTGAGCCAACATACTTGTTACCTTGCTTTTGTTTCTTTTTTGCGTTATTTTTTAAAGATAAAAAATCTTCATCATACAAAGGAAATGCCTCCATCTACTCTTCAATGGAACTTTCCTATTAATTTATATTTCATCATCTTTCAACATGAGTTAATCTTTACTTTTTAAAAAAAAGTGAATGCAACAAAACACTTATCATAATTTTCATAGCAGGAAATATGGTTAAAATATTTTGGAATAAAACAATTCTATTATCAAGTTCCTTCAAAAAACTCAGTATTTCTTATCAAGCTTGAGCTTATACCCAGTTACAATGTGACTTACACAATGTTTATTCTCCTGGTTTACTATTTAATCATCATTAAAGATTGTATAATAAGTTTTGACACTATAATGCTCGTTATCGTTACTGCACACAGTTGATGACATTATCTCTCAGTCTTGTAAATCTTCGATGTAATCATACCCCGTCTCATGTTGAGATATTGTCCTATCTGTGGTCATATCATCAAACTGTAAAATAAAATATCAACACATCAATTAAATACCATATGTATGTTTGTTGTTTAATTCTACATCTTTCTACACAATCTATCAATTATAATGGTGATCAATATAGAACAGATTAAGGAAAGGTTACAGGGTATGGCAAACTTTCGACCTTTTCCAGAAGAGAAAGGCCACAAGTGTCTCTTTCAGTGTAGTTTTTTAGGTTAGAGCATGTAGATCAATGAGCCTTTCTTTAGAGAGATAAATAATTTACATAGTTTACTTACTGCACTTTTCTCACTGCGTAACAAATCATCTCCTTCAATGGAAAGATCATCAAGGTCTTCCTCAATCTCCTCTGCGATGCTGCCATTCTGAGCCTCTGACCTGGTTCTTGGACTCTTCTGACTCATACTATGTCTATAATGGTAAAGATATTTATTTTTGGTTGGTTTTAAGTCCCTGTGACAATGTCAATACTAGAACTATCGCTGAATGCGATTCATACCCCCACCAATGTCCTTGACAGAAGACCACTTGGAAAGGTGGTTAAGGGAATAACTTATGTGGCACAAATACATAAAAAGAAATTATCTCTGGTGAAAAAAAGACTAACTGTACAGGTAATAGTATAAATATATATTATCAAATCATGTTCGAAACAGTTACAAATAACCTTTCATTTTCCCAATGTATTAAACATTTTATTTATAAGTCAATTTTTGACCTTCAAGTGTGACCTTGACCTTAATCTGACACAAGGGTAAGATTGGTTTTGCACATCACACAGTTTGGTTGAACATTTGAGTAAAGTTTGAAGAAAATCCTTCCATTAGTATAGAATTTATAGAGTAGACACAATATATTGTCTAGTATTGGTTGTACGTAAATTTGAAGACTTAAAAAGGGGCATAACTTTGTCCAAATTCAATACAGAGTAATGAAACTTGACCTGCATATCTTATTTGCCACACCTCATATATCTTTTAAGTTTCAAGCAAATGCCTGCGTTAGTTTCAGAATTATTCAAGTACATGTTAAAATTTAAGAACATTTTCTAAGTCAATTTTTTGACTTTCAAGTGTGACCTTGACCTTTAGCCGGCACAAAGGTGACATGGATTCTGCACATAACCTTGTTGAGGTGAAAATTTGAGTAAAGATTGAAGAAAATTCTTCCATTAGTATAGGATTTATAGAGCGGACACAACATATTGTCTAATATTTGATTTATGTAAATTTGAAGACTTAAAAAGGGGCATAACTTTGTTAAAATGCAATACAGAGTTATGAAACTTGAACGAACAGCATATCGGAATTGTGACCCTTCAAAAATATTTTAAGTTTCAAGGAAATACCTTTTCTAAATTTATAAATATTCAAATAAATGTTAAATTTTAAGAATATTTTCTAAGTCAATTTTTGACCTTCGAGTGTGACCTTGACCTTAAGCTAGCAAAAGAGCGACATAAGTTCTGCACATCCCCTTGTTGAGATGAACATTTGAGCAAAGATTGAAGAAAATCTTTCAATAAGTGTAGGACTTACAGAGCGGACATGACATACTGTGTAATATTAGATTGTTTGATATTAGACCTTCAATTGTGACCTTGACCTTGAGCTGATACATGGGCAACATGGGTTCTGCACATCCCCTTGTTGTGGTGAATATTTGAGCCAAGTTTGAAGAAAATCTTTCAATTAGTGTAGGACTTACAGAGCGGACATGACATACTGTGTAATATTAGATTGTTTGATATTTGACCTTCAATTGTGACCTTGACCTTGAGCTGACACATGGGCAACATGGGTTCTGCACATCCCCTTGTTGAGGTGAATATTTGAGCCAAGTTTGAAGAAAATCTTTCAATTAGTGTAGGACTTACAGAGCGGACACAACATACTGTGTAATATTTGATCGTTTGATATTTGACCTTCAATTGTGACCTTGACCTTGAGCTGGCACATGGGCAACATGGGTTCTGCACATCCCCTTGTTGAGGTGAACATTTGAGCCAAGTTTGAAGAAAATCTTTCAAGTAGTGTAGGACTTACAGAGCGGACATGACATACTGTGTAATATTTAATTGTTTGATATTTGACCTACATTTGTGACCTTGACCTTGAGCTGACACATGGGCAACATGGGTTCTGCACATCCCCTTGTTGAGGTGAACATTTGAGCCAAGTTTGAAGAAAATCTTTCAAGTAGTGTAGGACTTACAGAGCGGACATGACATACTGTGTAATATTAGATTGTTTGATATTTGACCTACAATTGTGACCTTGACCTTGAGCTGACACATGGGCGACATGGGTTCTGCACATCCCCTTGTTGAGGTGAACATTTGAGCCAAGTTTGAAGAAAATCTTTCAAGTAGTGTAGGACTTACAGAGCGGACACAACATACTGTGTAATATTTGATGGTGTTTGATATTTGACCTTCAATTGTGACCTTGACCTTGAGCTGACACATGGGCAATATGGGTTCTGCACATCCCCTTGTTGAGGTGAACATTTGAGCCAAGTTTGAAGAAAATCCTTCAATTGGTATAGGAGTTATAGAGCGGACACGAAAATGGAGACGGACCGACCGACCGACGGACGGACCGACGCGACAAAGCGAATCCATTATAGCCCCCCCCCCACATTTTGTGGTGGGGGTATAATAAACATTTAATTCATTTATTTAAAGAAAGCTTTATTTTAGTTAAACCACTCATTTAGTCTGCTTCCTGAATTTAACCAGTACTAATGTCACATTGTCACTCAGTCGGGCTTGAACCAAGGATCGACAAGTTGAAATGCAGACACCTAAATCATTAGGCTACAGCTCCCTCATTGTCAGTGATAATAATATTTCTACCTATAGTAGCTTTATAGAAGTAAATAAAGATTTAGATCTCATGTGTCACCCCATGCATTACTTAAGCAGATCTCAGCTAGTTGAAAAGCTTCATGAAAGAAGAACAATATCCCGAAGATGTTCAAAACAATATCCTGAAGATGTTCAAACTATCTGAAATTTGTTAACCAATGCTTCAAACTAAGATCTTTAATATTGAAATTTTGCATTTTGACATAAATGTATTCAATTATATATTTTTCTATTAGAATATAATCAACTTTCCATATAACCAATAGGAAATCCCATAATTATCTTCAGAATATATCAGTGATGCTCAATTCTTAAAATGAGTGGGACAGTCTTTTTATAATTTAAATAGTTTTTATATTGTATTATGGACATTTTTCAATGTCAATTACTGGTCAATCACCATTTAAAAAGTCAATCTTTTCAAATATATATGAAATGTACTAATTCAACAATGAGCATGTCACTTTATATTAATGGTTCCCTAAATTACACACATCCTAAATATTTGATCATTGATGGAACCTACCCTTCACTCACAAAATCATCTTCATAAGAATAGTCCTGTCCATCTGAAATATACATGAACAAATTTCATCATTTTTTTTTTAATAAAATGTCAATTTAAAACTCAAAAGATTGAAAGAGACTTTAATGTAATTTATAAACACAAATCCAAACTTTACTAGCTTCTAGACAAAAAATGTCAAATCCTATCTTCATATGAATCAAAGATATGAAAATTTGAATATTTATGTAGTAAACTGTGCAAAAATTGTAAAAAATATCTGTGTTTTAAAAGCTGACTAAAGGTTGAAAGCCGTGTTTGCTCTGGCAACTGATGCAAGTGAACAGACATTATATAAGATAAATTTAAATGAAACTTGTAAACTCAGCGCAAGACTAATGTATCTGCTTGTTTTATTATTCAAACGCAGTTACAATAATGTGACACAAAGATTATTATTGTAGAAATGTTTGACCCACCACCATCAAGACCCAGGTCAGACATCCGTTTATCCATGGCACGTAAATTCTCAGACGGCTCACCTTGCGCTGTAACAAACAAAACAGTGACTACCTTAACCAGCCGTGCAGCGTGACGTGTTTGATTAAAGTGCATTTTTCAAATTAGCCATTCTAAAGCTGCTTGTTTTAAGTTTAAGCAAAACATTTATCCAACATATCCTGGCCAATTTAACATACATATATTAAAAATTAAACATTAACTCTGCAATAAATGTCTGTATAATAATGTCTTCTCCAATTTAAACATGTTTAAAAACTTTTGTTTTGTTAAAAATGATTTAAGCTACTATCCTAAACTATAAGATACAGCTTCAAAAATATTGATCTTTTTTCCATTATTTCACTAGTGATTCAGAATTTAACTTTTGTACAGATTCTGTGTAAAGTTTTATATAACAAATCAAGTGTACATTAAACTTTGTTTCTGCATGGAAAATTTTGAAAATCTTATAGTTTATTGTGAAATGTCAACTAGACTACATGTATGCTAAGGGGCCAGAACTCTGCAGTAAAAAATACATAACAAGGGCAAGAAGTCTGTACTGTTGTAAAAATGTAAAATCAATTTAATACAACAACCACATTTTCCACTTAGTACAGTCTGACTTTGATATGCATACGGTATTAAAAGTATTTGTATGACACAGAAGATTAAAGTTTTCTGCAATGACAAATGATGTTAAGTCACATATCTTCCCTATTTTACGTCCATGTACAAATTCTTAAATAGTTCTTATACCTCTCTTGAGGTAATAAAACAAAATTAATGAAAACACTAGCTAAATTTTTCATAAGTACAATATCATTCCTACTAAAACGTTATGCAATTAGTCTAAGACTTTGTTATTCTATTTTTACTGTCTCAGAAAATCCCACAAGTTCATGCTATTAACAAGAAAGCATCACATTTCTAGAAAGAAATTATTACATTTCTAGAAAGAAATTATTACATTTCTAGAAAGAAATTATTACATTTCTGGAAGTTAACATCAATTAACACAAAAATCTATTTTTTTCCTAGTCACTAGTATCAACAGTCTGTAACCTATCTGTGTTTAGATCAAATGACTTTTTACTGTATTTTATGAATGGAAAAAATGAGCTTACCTAGCTGTCAAAGCCTTTTACTAATGTCATGACAATTTTTTTTTCTGATACAAAACTGATCTATATTTTCAAATAATGTACTTTGCTCTACAATTCACACTATGTAATGTAGTGAAATACATTATTCATATTTAATCATGGGATAATTTACTCAATCAAAATTAAGTCATTTCTTTTTTCAAATTATGCTATGATTAGCCCTAATTCTTATCCATAATTCTGCATTTTTGTTTTAAAGGTAATATTCTAGTTACAGTAATAACCAATAACATTTTTATTCCACAGATTTCATTTAAAGAGGTTAAACACAGGTGCAATATTTTTGATACAATGGACTAAATCTGCTCTTATTTGGACTATTAGTTGAATTGCTGTGCAAAGTTAGACAATTTACAAAGTGCAACAACAAAACACAAATCATGGTGGATCAAAAACAACTTATTAACAGTACATATTTTCAAATGATTTTTCTTTTCATTTTTTCCAAAATCATTTTTCTTTTAGCAAAATGACCTAAAACTGATGGGTTGCAATGCTTTTCATACCAATCAGTTGATTTCTTTATTATCTTTGCAGATTTTTTCTACTTTAAGTGTTTCATTTATCTATGTAAAAATTTCAGCTGATATTTTTAGTCTATTTAACCTCAGGGAACTCCAGCATAATAGCTCTCTGCAACTGTAAATTTACAGCAGTGCAAAGTTTTTGTTGTTTTCTTATTGTTGGGATATAAGTTTCACAGGCACTTTAAAGTTCATTATGACAATTTTCCAGCTTTACTGGTGGAGAAAAGACCTCAGGTGTGACAGTGACAAGTTGGCATATCAGTAAAACCACTGACCTTCTGTGTGCTAGCTGAAAATCTTCCTGAAACAGGATTCAAACCCACAGCAGTGAGGGAGCTATTGTCATGTTTTATTTATTAAATATTTCACAAAAATGGTGCAGTGTTAGATTACAGTCAAAAAGGGGAAACACAATAATTTTAGATGTCACATCAGTTCACAATGTGGAGAATCCTTACCACTTTGACTGTGGTGTCTAAACACTGGTAGTTGTCCTAAAATAACCTTACCATTGTATTATGTATGGCAAAATATCCCTTTTAAGTAATATCTTTAAGAAATACTCTTTCCATTTACATTTAAATGACATTCTCAATATTACAATACTTTCAGCAAGATGTTTTTTAATTTCTATAATAATATTTACAGCGAAGTTTTACAGCATTATAATCTTTTCTATTATAATCTTGTCAGCAAAAGTATCAATATTTCTAATTTAACCGGTGCAAAAAAATAACACCATTAATAATAGTCAAATTAACCTTTAAAATGATCATATTTACAGCTACATACCAATTTCATAGTCTTCTGTATTTTACCTAGTATTACATTTTTGCATTATAAATCATCATTAAATGTGTTGATGAATAGGCTTTACAGTCTGAACAAATTAAGTTCCTAAATACCTAATCTCACAAACCTGATTTCCCATTTTGAGGTTAGAACGAGACATTTTCCTCTCCGGAATGTACCTGTATTCAACATCATCCATGATCATCTTATAATCTTATACATGTCTATTCACAGTCAGATTTAATAATTTACAATTTATATAATATATAATACACTTACGAGACTTCCTGCCACTGGTACCCCTGTCTCCTGTTAGTGAAGGAAGACCTTGTAATGAACTCATGCCACCAGACTGGCCCCTGCCCTGGGAACCAGTCTTCTGTCCACCAATTCCATTACTCTCTGATTTATCACTCTTGTCTTCACTATAACATACAAATATCAAATATAAATTACATGATATGAATAATGAAACCTTTAACCCTTACTTAAACTACCAAGTTAATTAAATGAATCAGCAAATCTTCCATATTTGGAACTGTTTATTATCAATTTTAGGGGTATCTAGATATACATTTAAGTTTGTCTGCCAACAGTATAGAGTTTGGTCAAGTTGTCAGTCAGCTTGAATACTCTCCAGTGTCAAAAACTAATCACTTTCAGATCAAGCATTAGGTAAGGGTTAAAGGTACTGGTGAGTTTAAATAAAAGTCATCAATCAACAAATAAACCCAATCGTACAGATGTACCAAAAAGACATTTATATAGGTCAAGTTTTATCACTGCCTGAAAGAGAACATAATGATAATTATTAGCCTTTACCAATATTACAGTATATAAAGCAAGTCTGCTTCCTGTCATTGCAAGAAAGGTTCTGGTTGTAATACATTAAGAAGGGCACAGTGATCAGAAGTAGCAGCTGCTTGTGATTGCAAGACATGGTACACACTAAATTGAATAGACTCGTAAGACAGGATACAGTGATTTTATTCATATACTGTGAATTATCTATTTGCTACCTACATATGTGTATATTAGTTTACTAAACTACTATTATGAAATCTTGCGAATTTTTATTATACCTCTTAACATTTAATAGCCAATTCTGGATCAACGGTAAAACAACTTGCTTTAACATTGGTAATTTCTTATTTTGTCTCACTGCTTAAAAAAGGTTTAACTGTAACCCAATATTAAACAATCTTGCTAACACTGACCACACCTGAATTAAATTATTAATCCAATTATGGGAAAAATTAAAAATATGTACTGATTAAAAAGACCATGATCAGATGGCACAGATGTGCACACTGATCTTGGTCAGCACTGGCTGCATGGGTAGAATTTGTTTTTGCAAGCAGGCAATGAATTAATAAAGGTGAACAGTGAGAACAAGGAACTATTTTCTCAATATATCCTACCATTTGTTACAATTATATTAAAAACTAAAATAAACAAAAACATTCCAAATTAAAATTCTTATCAATGCAAAGGATACCTTATATTTAGATTTGATTTTGAGGTTAATTAAATGCTACAGCTTAATATAAACATTGTATTCAGTAATCTGTTAGTGTAATATGCCCCATGCTACTTTTTTTTAACCATTCAGAGATTAAACAAACTTTGGAGATACTTTATATACAAAATCTAAAATGAATATATTTAATAAAAAAGAGAAAATCCAGAAAAATTATCAACATGTATTATAATGAAGTTTCAAACCTTCCAAACATATATTTACATCTTGATGACTGATACACTAAAGTTAATCTAAATAAAAATATTTATTCATTTGTAATTGTGAAACACAATTTTGTAACTTTTATTAATCTCTTTTAAGTCCACTTCCTAAAACTAAACTTGTTTCACATAGTGTGAAGTCCAAGAAACATGATTATTATCAGAAAAGGGCTCGAACCTTATACCCTTCCCTTGACAGGGAGGCTCTTAAACCACTCAGCCACTGCTCATCTTAAACAGTAAGTTCTCAGGGTGGGTGTTCATATGACATTTGTTTCCGTAACATCAGGTCACCATTAATGGGTTTTGCTAATTTTTTGTTTTATCTCTTTAATATTTGTGCAATTAGAATATACCAAGTTCCCGGCAAAAATTTACAGATTACAATGGTACATGTTTTTCTAATGTAGCGCTTGTACTTACTGTGATATGCTTGTAGTGATTTGGACATAGCATTACCAAAATTTAGCCACATTGAAAATTTTCTGTACACATAACAGGAAAAATAAAAGAGCTCCAAAGGAAAAATATGTACCATTTATGATTAGAATCGGCAACTTTCTTCCTTGAAAATGGTTTATGTTTATTATTCATATATTGAAAGATATAACAGAAAATTACAAACTACTTTTCAGCAGTGACCTAATGTTACCAAAAACAATTGTGATCATGTGATCACACACCCCGAGTTCTTGTCATACAAAATATAAAAAAGATCATGCTTAAGTTATTTAAGAAGTTAAACTCTAGAAAAATTAAAATGATACATCTCAAAAGGTGATCAAAAACCAACTCTTAACTTATAAATGTAAAACACTCTGAAAATACATTAAATTTAAAAAAAACTATAAATAAATAAACCCATCTCAACTTGGATCAAACTGGTAATTAAAAAAATTCTATACCTTAACAAAACATTTAATAAACTCCCAACAATAAAGTCAAACCCAGACTCCAAAAAAATTATAGAAAAAAAAAGTGAAAATAAGGTCAACTAAATAAACTGTCTTACCAAAAATACATGAAATAATCACCCCTGTTAACCAAAGAGGAAAGTTTTTAACAATGACATTTTTATTTATTATATACTTATAAATGAAATATTGAGAAATATTGATGAAATAAAATGCGTATTTTCATTTTCCGTATTTTCACTGTAAAAATTTATTTTTCACTGCAGTGAAACATATTTTCCGTATTTTCACTGGTGTCTTGCCGGACTACTTTCTTTTAAATTCTGCCAGTACACAAAATTTAAGGGAAAGTCTTTCAAATTTTATCGCAAAAAAGAGAAAAATGTATATAATAAACAGAAAATTCAAGTTTTTTCTATAAATACATGATTTATTTTCATCTTGTGGCATGAAAATTACCATATTTCACTCGTGGCTACCGCCACTCATGAAATATTTATTTTCATACCACTCGATGAAAATAAATCATGTATTTATAGAAAAAACTTGAATATCCTCTATATATTGTTACATGTAAACATTTTTTTTTTGCTTGAAAAAAAAATGCAACTTTTGCATAACATATTTTTCTTGATATAACATAAAAGTAACACAAAATTAATTGTTAAATAAATAAAGATTTTCTTTTAATTTATGAATGCACAATAAACAATAAACATTCAAATTATAAATGTGTAACAGAAACAAAACTTTGAACAACCCGTACCCAATTTTTAAACTTTAGTTCAAATTTAAAACAAATCCCATTGAATTCTTTTTAATACAAGAAGGGCTGATAACACTAGAACGTTCACCTAAGGACCAGAGATACTTAACTCATGACCCCATTTTGGATTGGAATATGACTGATTCAAGAAATAAAACTAGAAATATGTCCGCAGGTGAGCAGGACGTCTAGACATAGACAAATCTATATTTAAAATGATAAAGACACTTCTGACATGGAATTAAAATATTTTTGATACATGTATGGATGACAGACATAAGGCAGTCACTACAGCTAACATCACCCGCAAAATGGTTACATGAACTAAAAAAAATTTTTAGTAACATGTACAGGGTATTAATTCTGACTAAATTAGCCAAAGCCACAATTCCAAACATCATCAAATGTTATGTTAATCATTATTAATTTACCACAGCAAAAGGCAAACACTCTGTCTAAAGCATAGGAACTCTACCACAGGTCTTTTTTGGGGGGAAAATAGCTATATAAAGTGCTGATTTTGTTTTTCAAAATATTTACACCACCAGTTATCTGCATATTTAATCAGTTCTACTATAATTAAATGGTTTGCATCATTTGGTTTTATAAATATCTTACAGCTTATATTTACTATTCATTTTAGAAAATACGAGCTTTTCCAAATTTGTTGTCATTTCACATCCAGGAAAATAGTTTCTTTCAGTGTTTTATAATTACAAAACACAGAACAAAATTGGCCATAAAATGGAATGATTGGAAAGTTCTAAAAGTGCTTTTAAACTATCTTGAGCAATGCTTTTAGCATCAATAACAACAGAGTATTAATGCACCTTTTTTCATGCATTAACATCTGCAGAAGCACGAGGATGCACTTTAAGCCTGAGCATTCACAGCGAGGAACTTAAAGCATGGCTCCCAGGTTCAAGCATATTCAAAAACATACAACAAAGGTGCCTGCTTACAGGGCATAATGGGCCTTTAACCAAACATGTTTCCTCTTGGGCGTACTTTATAACACACACTCATCATGAACTCGGGCTATTTTCTTTTGAAGTATAATAATTATTTGTAACTGAACTATAAAAACAAATTTGACAAAGGCGTAAAAGACAGATATTCTGAAACCCAAATCCAAATTCTGTTGTTCACAAAAAGGGTAAATCTGTTATATTCACTCATGTACATGATTATGAAAGCTGAATATACGTCAAACACATGTTTAAAAACACCACACAGCATTTACATATATACCAAAAAAATAAAATCAAGTTATATTATTATATGTCTAAATGGAATATAATATTTACTATTTGGACAGCACACCTGTTAAACGCTAGACATCACAAAAAAAATGTTATTATTATGCCATATATACACCATACATGTACAACAAACAAACACTATATATGTATAGTGAACAACCTAGGTTTTCAATAAGGCCAAATTTGATTTTTTATTTGTTCCTCATATCTACCAAATAGCTCTTGGAATTTTTCATGGCAAGTCTAACCTACAAGAATAAGTTCCAGGCCAGTCGGAACTTTAACTTCTTTTTAAGTTGACCTTTGTTATTAATTTGCTGGCTACTTAATCATTGCACTCTCATAATAAAAAACCTATAGACCTACAAAAGACAAACTCAAAAACACGAAAAATCCATTACACATCTTCAGATAATATACAAGTTGGGAAGTCAAAAATATGGATTTTTCTAGAAAGACAAAACAAATGATATCTTTGTGTGCAGTACTTTGATTAGCTGTGAGTTTGTCACGTAACTGATATGTAACAATACTAATCAGACTTTAGACATATAATTTACCGGAAATGACCTTTGGTTCAGTGAATGATTAGATTTCATGTTTCTTAAGATATATATGACTGAAAAGATTTTTTATGTCATATATTACTAACACAAAATCTTCAATCTCTATAACAACAAGATATCTAACTCCTAAGTTTAGATTATTTTAAGGAACTTCACTGAGGTTTTTCAACATGGCAGGACTGTAAATACAGTTTTGCAAAAATTAATTAACTATAATGATGAAAGTCTAAATCAATAACTTCAATTCATTGTCTCAATCTGTTTGCCAGTACATTCATTTTTATTGTGCATAATTTAGGCCAAAATATTAATAAAGCAATATCATGAATATTTAAGCACACACATTTAATATCTCAGTTATTTTATATGTGTTGATATACATGCAGTATATGTCCAGCAATAGAAAGTGAGGTGTGATGATTTACAGTATTGTCAGTAAGTCCAGCAAGAATTGAAACAAGAGCTGTCGGTAGGACAGCAACGCTTGACTATTCTTAGTGCTTGATAGTATAAAAAACCTTGATTAAAAGGTAAAATTTTCCCAGTAGAGAAAAAGGCAAATTTTTTCTTTAAATCCATATTACAGTTATAGGCCTTGGAGAGAGTCCTATTATGCTCTCAAAGAAGAGTATAAAATTTCAACATGTTTCAAAAGCCTTATGTCAATGAACTTTGAAATATTTGAGGCATTACAAAAACTTTAATGTAAATTCTAAGTCGAAAAAGGAGCATAATTCTGTCAAAATGCTTGATACAGTTACCTCCTCCTGTTTACAGGTTGGGGTTATGATGGTCAACAAGTACATGCAAAGTTTTAAGGCCATATGTCAATGGACTATGAAAATATCTGAGATATTACAAAAACTGTAACGTAAATTCTAAGTCGAAAAAGGAACATAATTCTGTCAAAATGCTTGATAGAGTTACCTCCTCCTGTCTACAAGTTGGGGTCATGATAGTAAACAAGTGTGCAAAGTTTCAAAGCCATATGTCAATGGACTTTGAAAATATTTGAGGTATTACAAAAACTTTAACATAAATTCTAAGTCAAAAAGGGGCATAATTCTGTCAAAATGCTTGATAGACTTACCTCCTCCTGTTTACAAGTTGGGGACATGATGGTGAACAAGTGTGCAAAGTTTCAAAGCCAAATGTCAATGGACTTTGAAAATATTCATGGTATTACAAAAACTTTAACGTAAATTCTAAGTCGAAAAAGGGGCTAGTTCTGTCAAAATGCTTGATAAAGTTACCTCCTCCTGTCTACAGGTTGGGGTCATGATGGTGAACAAATGTGCAAAGTTTCAAAGCCATATGTCAATGGACTTTGAAAATATTTGAGGTATTACAAAAACTTCAACGTAAATTCTAAGTCGAAAAAGGGGCATAATTCTGTCAAAATGCTTGATAGAAATACCTCCTCCTGTCTACAGGTTGGGGTCATGATGGTGAACAAGTGTGCAAAGTTTCAAAGCCAAATGTCAATGGACTTTGAAAATATTTGAACCATTACAAAAACTTTAACATAAGTGGTTACGCCGACACCGACACTCGGGTGACTACAATAGCTCTACTTATTCTTATCGAATAGTCGAGCTAATAAAATTACCATTCCCCCTTCCCCCCTCTAAATTTTTAAAAACCCTACTGGTTCCCTTTTCCTTACAAAATTCTAGAACACAGGTTTAGTCTGTGTGGAAAGTCTTAAGATTTTTTCATTGTAATGTGAATTTTGCCTTGATAATGCTTGGTCTTAAAGTCTAATTTTTAAAACAAAATGGTAATAAAAAAATCAGTCAGCATATTTGATATTGTTTTGTTTCTTTTCTTTTCTTTTTCTTTTTTAATATCTAAAAATTAGTAAAAAAATAATAAATAGATTTCTATATAATAAAATAGCTATCACAATTTCCCATCATTGAGTTTAGTAGAGGGTGTATATATGGCAAGCTATATATAGTATCAAGGTTTATCAAACAGCTAGTTTTAATGTTCTGCTTGAACGCTCCAGCACACTCGGCTAGGGTGGTGAGGATTATAAAAAAAATGCTTCACCACAACTAGGTTACAGATTCGAGCCTACTAACCTCCGTAAGGCTGAAAACACCGGTATTTGTGATGGTCGCCCATTGCCACCTCTCTTTCCTTCAGAAGGGCTATCGCCCTTACTATATAGCATGGTAAAAGTAACGTGTTTTAAAACATGAAATAATAACATGTTTAATTAAAATTCTAATGTTTAAAATAAACACACACATATAGTACAGTATGGTGCTTTTTAAGATGAAATGTACAAGTGAAATAAGAAAACAATCTTGGATTATCAAATGTGTAGTTGAAATATGTGTGATGAACATTGTGTAAAAACATATTATTAATATGAATTTCTTTTTATGCAAAACAAATGAAATACTCATTCCGACAATAATGACTTATTATAAAAGTTTTAAAAAATCTAAAAAACTAATATCCTTTTTAAGTCTTAAATGTTTTACAAAATATTGTCTCCATACAAAACTTTCAATAGAAAATGTAAAAATCTTAAAATTGTATGGTTATATGACTGACTATGAACATGCTATAAAGTAGACAAAAAAGTTAATTAAAAAAAAGAAAAAAAAAGATATGAATTTGTTGTTCATGCATAAACATAAAAGAAACCAGGGCTGTATAATACATTATACTGTACATTGTATGATAACTTGGGATAGGAGTAGGGGGCAATATGTATATTTTCAAACAGGGATCCTTATCTCCATGTATAGTATTTTCAAAATATTTGACTTTATTAAAACAACAAAAAGCAGCCAAAATAAATTTTTACAGGACAGGTAGTGAAATGTTGTTTTTATTTACACCTATGCAGAGACTATTAATTCAACATACCATAGTTCAACATGACTTCAGCAAATCTGTGTCAACAATTATATCAGTGACAATTTTCATATTTTACATAAACCTTACTTTAAGGATTACAGACCCGAATGAGCATCAATAAGAATAAGCTTTTTATTACTTTTATTCTTTTCCAGATAGTATTAGACATTTAATTTTTTTAAATATAAGCAAATAGACATCACCACTTCCAACAATTAAATGTTGTTTGGCTGTTGTTTCTTACTTGCATTAAAATATCATATATGTTTTGTTTGTTTTTTTTTCAATTCCTAAAACACAACTGTATTTCTTCTTTGAATATCTTGGTTTATTTCTTGTGAAAAAATGTTCACATTGCTAAAACAGGATACTCAAACATATTCAGTTGCTTAGATCAGGGTTTAAACCACAGACCTCTCAGCATCTGAAGCTGGCATCTTACCCAACATGCTTATAAAACACTTATCAGCAAAGTCAGACGTAAATCTAACATTTCCACAAGGGTCTGTAATCCTTAAAAAAGTGAAAAAGCCATCAAACTAAGAAAACTTTTAATTTTTTGTTGTAGAATATGAAACAGATTAACTTAAGTAAAATCATTTGATTCCCTCTTCGGTTTTTAACTATTATAGTAAGTACAAAAATAAAATTTCCAGCATGCAATTATGAAATGAAAAATAAATGAATACATTATACATTTGTACATTTTTTAAGATACGAAAAGATAATCAAAGGTAATGGTAAAATCTATTTAATTTCATTGAAGCATTTTATCTTCTAGCTTGTGTCAAAATATTCATCTTAGAATGAATAATCTTAAAATAATCTTTAAACAATTAAAATAAGGTTTTATTTTATTTTATTTTTTGGTTGGTTGGGTTTAAGTCCCACCAACCCAGATTAGGTCAAATGGCAACCTACTCCCCAGCTTTACTGACAAAGAAAGACCTCAGGTGCCCCTCTATACATAATTTTAGGTAAATTGGGGCACCAGGGATGAAGAACTATCTTCGCTTCTCAGTAATGATATTCTAAAACAATAGTAACATGTCATTTTAAACCATAATGAAAATATTTACAATGAAATATAATGATTTTACAGTAAATCAGACTGGTTTATTTAACTACAGTATGAGTAAAATTAGGTCTGTAATTATGCAGGCGAGTATATGGGTTATGTTATACACGTTTATATGTGTGTTTTACAAAGCTACATGATGCCTCCTCCTGTTAATGGATTACACAAATATATACACATACATATAAATAACATAATTATTTTCAGTATGCTAGCATATAATATTAAAACTAAGCTCAATATTTAAGCTTTCTCTAGTATATCAAAAGTGAGTTACTTTTTCTTTTCTTTTTCCAAGAAATTTTCAAAATACAGAACTGGGATTTTTTTTTTTTCACTTGTAAATAAAATACAGCTCATACATATGTTCAGAAACATTAAAAACTCTTTAAATTTATTACTCAGTCAAGTTTGCAGTTTTTGCAAAATTATACATATGTCTACCATTCCATTCCTTTACAGATACAGTAAAAGATGTGAAACATTAAGTGCATAAAAACATGTCTAAAACTTGTATTTTCTTTAATGAAAAGTGCAAACAGAAACAAACATGTACAACCACAAAACATGCTGGGTGAATTCAAGCATTATTTTGTCAAACTTAGAAAATGTATACATGCTCTATTTAACAGAATCTAGTCAAGATAAATGCTGTGATTCAAGGGGACAATAACCGAGGTACTGTCATCACCCAGACAGATCAAGACATGGAACATACAGATGTTGTCCAAACTTTGTGTCATTTCTTTTCATAGATATTTCATCCATAAATAATTTTCAAGTCATTATTCAATTCAGTAATTCAATGATAGTTTAATAAGCATCTGTAAGACATGGATCAACACAATAAATCATAGTAATTAAAGGGCTTACTGAAAAACCAAAATTCACAGATGGGTCATAATGAATCTGACTTTATAGTGTAGGAAACGAGGACCGGTTAGTAGGACCCTACCAGTCTATGTCTAGGAACAGTAAGTTTTATACACCAAAATGTTCACAAGGGTTCGTAGAATATGAAACGATATTTCATTTTAACTCGAATGGTCGGATAATCAAGAAATCCAAGATGGCGTCCAAGATGGCCGCCAAAATTCGCAAAAACATTAATTATCATTATTTGGCAATTTTTTAAAAGAATTTCACTTTTGTCTTCACATATAAATATGATAGAAAATACATGTTTACCGTAAATAAATTGGTTTTTGATCACTTTTATGGGAGAAATATAAAATATTTGAAAGAATATCATGGAAAATGTATTAAAAATGACCTAAAAATTAAATTTGATATAAATTTTTATTTCCATGACAACACATTTCAATTTTTATTTCCATATTATACTTTTGTGCAAAAATACAACTTCAACTCTTATCATTTATGTCAATTTTATTGTTTATGGACACTTCTCCTATGGACGTATTATGATTTTAAACGGGTGGGGTATAATTAAATTCAGCTAAAATTTACATCTCTAAAATTGCGCCTATTTCTGATAATTTATTTTCCAATTTTTTGTATTTGTTGTGTTGTTGACTGACTTGTTTTCTCTGAAATACATATAATAGAAAGTGTGATGTAAGCAAATATTGAAATTTTTATCAGTTTTCATGGTTACCCTGGTAACATTTTATAAAAAGATAACATTTTATAGAAATATAAATCTTACGTTATAGAAATAAAACCTTAAATGCATTTAAGCAACTTTTTACAAACTTTGAATGATTCATAATCACCACACTTTTCAAATGACCACAGGTGTAATAATAAATTAATGGTCTTCTCTTGACACCTCACGATTTGTAATAATAGGCCTAGATCTACTGCAGATTACATTGGATGATGCTGTAAAAGGTTACATAACATTGTCATAAATCCAAGTAGTTATTATTATTAATGTTGTTTTATCATTATAATATGTATATACCGAAATAAATTGAAGGCTATGTTTAAGATTTAAAGTACAGTCTCGTATGAATATTAAACAAGTGTCATAGTACTCGGATATGCTTAAATTTGCCACTTGAATATGTTCAAAACCAAGATAATGTGTGTCTACACTCAGATTGTTTATAATTATACAACGTTCTTTCAGAGTATGAGTACTATGACCTAAAAGTTTCATTTTTATGTATTCATACATCATTGCTCCAGTCTGCTATTAGTTGAAAGCAAAAAAGAAACTTTTTGATTAAAGGGCAAGAAATTGGCCTTAAATATCTATAACGTTATATTTTTTAATCTTTAAAAGTTCTCCATACACATGCAAATCTGGTACTCCCAAAATATTTAAGCACAATCCGATATCCAGCAGGTCGATTTCTTTCATTTTATAAGAACCACATAATAATATGGAGCAACAGTACAATCAAATAAATGTAATTTAGTTTTGATATCTAACTTGATTCAAATGACTATAAAAGGTTCTGATAAGCTCTTCAAGCTTGGTCAGACAAAATCACAACTATTGCTTCTAAAGTACCAGTATGTGCGAATTTAACACCCGATCAATCTAAACACACCAATACTAAATGGTGGCTCTTTCGGTAATGTGTTATAAATGCTATCAAAACATTACTGGAGAAGGTAAACACAGTTTCTAAAAATATCTGTTGTTTAAATAATTGTTTAAGAGCATGTAACACGCTTATCACCTGAAGAAATGAAGGTTATGAATATAAAATTATGAGATATATTAAAGTAAAAAAAGGTAAATCAGTAAATTCAAATGTGATGGAGCCACCGATATGGTGTTTGCGCAATCAGAAATGTGATGGTGCCAACCCAACCATTCAGTAAGAATAGGTTTGTGCTATTATGCCAATTGATGTTCATGGTTAAATTAAAAAAAAGAATCTTCAAATTGTTTGAGATAGTATCTGCTATATTCGTATATCTGTAAAAAGTATAAAATGTGCCATTTTCAATTACTTCTTCATCACTAATTGGACTTTCAAGAGAAAAAAGCTAATGTTATTTTTAATGATTTCCTATGTGTAGAATTCTTTATTTGCAAAAATGCGTCTTTAATCTAAATAAATAATATTTGTCTTTTGGAACTTGGTTATTCAATGTGTTTTCTTATATTGGTTTTCGCCGGTCTGGTACGTCAATCATTCATCCTTTTGTTCAATGTTTACAGTAACTTTTACATCGTGTTGAATTGCTTTGGCAAAATTATGCCACACTTAAAACATTTTATGAACATGATGAAAGTAATTTATATTAACTAATGTAACTTTGTCTCCTTGTAAAGGAAAACATGTGAGTTGACTTTTGACAAAAACTCTTGCAACTTCATGTTTGGGTATTTCGTATCGATGTTGCATCCAAAATGATGAGAAAAATGTTCTGTATGGTATAGCAGTTTTTGATTTTTAAAAAACAAACGAGCATATTCTTTTAAAGTCGGATATTTTTAGAAAATATGTTAATCTTTTTCAGCGTTTATGGCTATCATATAAATAAATCACCAACATGTGAAAGAGCCAATGTTTAGTAGGGGTAGGGATGTAACATATTTTGATTTAACTTGTAAGCTGACTGATAAAGAGTACAATATCGTCTGCAAACAAAATGAGGTACACTGGATGAATAAAACAGTAATTTTACTTCATACTGTAGATATCTACATTATTAGTGGTATCATTTAAAAAAAAAAAACAACAAAGGAGAAATGAATGTTACTCCCCTCGCCTTTGGCCTGTGGTGACATGAAACAAATATCGGAAATTTTTTTTTGGCATATTTGGATTAGATTAGACACATTTTTACTTTACTAAAATTGTTTTTATCATGGATATCATCTTAAAGCTAATAGCTGAATTAAGATATTGTTTCCAAAGAGCGTCGCGAATATCTGTATCAAACGCTTTTTCATAATTAATAAATATACACCAGAGTTTAGAAGTGACAAACAGGCTTTTTGTATCACTGAGTGAAAAATTAAGATTGCATACTTAGTATAATGGCCCTCGCGAAATCCGAACCGAGAGTCCATAAAGATAGTGCTATTTTTGCACAATTTGTAAATCCAATTTCGTAACAACAATGAAAATATTTTGTAAGTACATTTACAATAGATATTTACGATGGCACAAAGGTGACAATCATGTGTGTGTGTGTGTTTATTTATCCCATGGCCACGAGTTACTAAGTCGTAGCCATGAGATAGCTAAGTCGTGGCGGCGAGATAATTAAGTCATGGGCTTGAGATACTATGTCGTGGCCACGAGTTACTAAGTCGTAGCCACGAGATAGCTAAGTCGTGGCGACGAGATAATTAAGTCATGGGCTTGAGATACTATGTCGTGGCCACGAGTTACTAAGTCGTAGCCACGAGATAGCTAAGTCGTGGCGACGAGATAATTAAGTCATGGGCTTGAGATACTATGTCGTGGCCACGAGTTACTTAGTCGTAGCCACGAGATAGCTAAGTCGTGGCGACGAGATAATTAATCAATCAGAATACACTATATATATATTATGAATTTTTTAAACTTAACAACTTACTTTTACAAGCAACATTATTCTTTGAAAATACTTAAGATATTCACTTTGAACTTGTCTTTAGGATCATATTAGAAAGTCACCTTCCAAGGCCCATCAGACATTATTTTTGACTATAGCTCTTTGTTTGGACAAATTTTGTTATCGAATTAGTCAGTTTGTACGTACTACGGCCTGTTAACCTTGTATACAGTGATGCTAAATGTAAAATTAATGAACATTCAATAAGTTGAATAAGTGGCACTTTTACAGGCTGGAAAAGTAGGGGCATCCTTGTACTATAACACACGCCTAGTTAATAAGGGAAATTAAAATAAATGGTGTAATCTGACTTAGTAATCCGTGGCCACGACATAGTATCTCGTGGTCACGACTTATCTATCTCGTGGCCACGACTTAGTAACTAGTGGCCAGGACATAGTATCTCGTGGTCACGACTTAGCTATCTCGTGGCCACGACTTAGTAACTCGTGGCCACGATGTAGTATATTGTGGCCACGAGATAAATAAAAACACACACATGTCACCTTTGTGCCACCGTAGAAATAAACTCTTAAGCATCAATAAAAATTGTAGTTGTTAAGATCACAACTCTTATTCCTTTTCAATTTAAGAAGTTAAAAATATTACTTCACCACTAAATAGTGTGTCAAGTTCTCTTATACATGTATGTAAGCGCTCTAAGTGAAGACAGTTAAGAATTTCTGTATCAAAATTCGTACCAAAATTCTCAGAAATATTGGTAAAATGCTGAACATTAATGTCATTATTACATAATTTGCTTCTAGATTTGAATTTCGAAATATATGTAAGAAATTTAGGTGACGTCTTGCTCAAAGATGAAAGTGGTAATTTGGATAAGTTTGTCAAATGATTTTGATATCCACAAAATATAAACAATATTGGTAAAAACAAAACAGTTACTAAATAATTGTTGTGTTCTGTTCGTGATCCTTACAAACATTTTGACTGACCTGCCCAAAACATCAAAAACTGGAACAATGAAGTCTGAATATACACAAAAATGAAATCTTAAGTTCTTAATTCTCTTAAAGAACATTGTATAATTACATGCAATTTGAGAGAGGATGCAAATGTGGCTTTGATTTTAGACATATCCAAATTTAATCATATCCGAGTACTATGAAACCTCTTTAAAATATGCATGTGGAACTGTATTTAAACAAATCCTGCAATATATGTCATTATATACATAATGATGAAGTAAAAAAAAGAGTAAAACTAAGTTGGATTTATATTTTTGTAACCTTTAACAGCATCGTCTTTATTTAAACAAAAATTGTCTGCAGTATTATTATTTTATTTGTTTGATTGGGTTTTACATCACACCGACACAGTATTATTTTAAAAAGCAAAGTATCATCAAGGGAATGAATTTTTTGATTTCTATACTTATTGTTATAACCACGGTCAATTAAGAATGTCATTTGAAAAGTATTGTGATTATGATGTATATATATATTTTGTAAAGTTGCAAAAATATCTTTAAAGGAAAGATTTTGCCTTTTTTCTATAACATGTTACCATGGCAACCATGAAAACTGATGGAAATTTAAATGTATTTTTAAACATTACATTTTTGTATTTATTTCAGAGAAAACAAGGAAGTCTACGTGAAAAAAAACCCAATAATTTGGGCATTCAATCATAAGAATTAGACGCAATTTTAGAGATGTAAATTTTAGCTGAATTTAATTATACCCCACCCGTTTAAAATCATAATGCGTCCTTAAGAAAAATGTCAATAACCATTAAAACTGTCATAAATGATAAGAGTTGAAGATGTACTCTTGCAAAAAGTACAATATGGAAATAAATATTGAAATATGTTGTCATGGAAATGAAAATTTATATCAAATTTAATTGTTAGGTTATTTTTTTATACATTTTCCATGATATTCTTTCAAATATTTTATATTTCTCCTATAAAAAAGGACAAAAACCAATTTATTTACGGTAAACATGTATTTTCTATCATATTTTAATGTGAAGACAAAAGTATCTTTGAAATTCTTGAAAACATTGGCCAATTAATGATAATTACTGTTTTTGAGGAATTTTGGCGGCCATCTTGGACGCCATCTTGGATTTCTTGATTGTCCGACCATTTGGGTTAAAATGAAATATTGTTTCGTATTCTACGAACCCTTGTGAACATTTTGGTATATAAAACTTATTGTTCCTAGACATAGACTGGTTGACCCCCAAAATATGCATGATTTACTTGTTCATTTCCTACACTATTAAACTATTTAGGAATGAAATATCTTTAAATTACATCACATGATGTCCATGCAATTTCAGTACTTTAAAATTACATCTAGAAATACACAGAAAAATTGTATATACATGTATCATATAAAAAATCTCACCTGCCATAAGCCTTAAACCCGGTGCTTGGTGAGGTGGGAACCGGATCGTCGAAGAAATCTTCCTCTGTATCAGTATTATTATTGTCCTGTATTAATTGCTTTGGACCATTTTCCAGATTTCTTTGATTTCTTGAGTCGACTAAACTGCGTTCAGATCTTTCAGAATTACTGGCCTGTAACAGACAAATAATATTTAACATATAGAGTCAATTACCTCCCTTATATGACTATTACAATATCTTTAAATAGTTCTTTATAAAAGTAGATTAAGTAAACATGACGGCCATGGTGGCACTACATCATTCACCTGAGGTCCTCTGCTACAAAAGGTTACAATTTCTTCAATTCATAAGTAAATAATTACAAAAGACATCATGATTACCAAAAAGTTGCATATTTTATACAATATTTATAGAAGAGCGCTACATGTTGAATATCTAAGTTCTGAGCATTGTAGTTTTTCACAAGAATACTTCAATGTTGTTTGGAACCATAAAAATCAATAGAATTCATCTATAAGTAATGACTTCTCCATTAAATCTGAAGGCTGTAGTCTAAAGGATGTTCTAGTTTTAGTTCAACTAGTTCTAGTATTGAGATGGACATACTGATGAAGTAAAGTGAGAGGAAAAAATAGTCAAAGAGTTAAAATTAATCCTGTGATTACAATTGTGCAATTAGAGTGGTAAGTTACCTTGCTAATATGTGAGGAGAGAGATTTATTTGATGCTGGTGATAGAATATCTGAAACGTCCCCAGACACGACACTTCTACACTGTAGGAACAGTCTCTTATACATGGAAAGAAACTCAGAAAAACTGATACCTGAAAGTAAATAAATGTAATTCAGTGAGGTCAAACTATACTAATATTTTTAATAAATTCTGCTTATAAACACACATTAATATGTTTTCTATAATTTCATCAGCATTGCAAATCAATTTTTTTCAAGACTATAAATAACAACAAAACTGATTGCCATATTGGATGAAAAAGAAATTATCTATATGTGGCCTTTTAAGAAATCATAAAAGCACTAATCAATTTCTAACTGATCAAACCTTATATCTTTGAACTGTATGAAAATTCAACTTTCGGTCTTTCTTGAAACAATATTTTAATTTAAATTCACTTTGATTAAATCATCAACTTTTATTTGTATACATGATAATATCAGAGAAAAATCTTCAGATATCAAAACAGTCAGATTAAGTATGGAATTGAAACTTGATGTTTTCATAAACACATTTTATATTCTTGCATATGTAATTATGAATACGAAACAAATCAAATGTAACAACATTAAACATTCAACATAATCTCATACTGATATTCAAAACATAAACTTAAAAAACATTCTGTTTTACAGAAACTTCTAGCATGCATATACAAGGGCGCCATTAAAATAAATTCAAATGTGTATATTCAACAGACAACAAGATTCATACAAAAGATATCCCGATGACCATGAAATGCCCATGTCAGTGTGTATATGTTTGTAAAATCTAAGGGCCATTACTCTAAAAATTTAAGAAACGGTCTACACAGTCAAGTACAGATCATATCTGTTATGTTTAACTGTAGAAGAGATTCATTTGCACACACAAGTGTGATTGATACACACTCCATTTAAATGTGAAAGAATGAACAAAAAAATTAATATTGAAAAACTTATGAGATAATGACAATCCAAAACACAAACAACCAAGAATGGTCTGGATGTAATGACATTATTAATTTAATGTTTAACATGCTTTGTTACAAAAGACTGTTAAACTTAACACAATACAAATATGAGCATGACAAACAAGGGGGCAAGACATTCAAAGTCAGTGACCTTTAAACTAGCCAGCCATTATAGCCTTACTCGATATTATATACAAAATAATGGCATTAATGGGTATGACAAGATTAACATAAAACAAAATATATAACAGAAATTTTGTTATGTTGCTGTAAACAAGCTGACCTTTCCATTCCATCTACAGATAATACACCAGTATAAGTGTACATATATTAATTTATTAACCTATACACCATGTTACTATGTTCTATAGACATTCTATCAGGGCTCATCCGGAAGGGCGATTCGGGCGAAAACTTCGCCGTGTATATTTCCATTTCGCTCTCCCAATTGATCAAAGAGAAGTCGACATCGCCGATAAAATCTTAATTTCCAAAGACTTTTTACTTGGCAATGTAAAGAGCAGAGATTGTATCCGCCCATATGACGACTGCTAATTATCATAATCCAATCAGAGCGTCGCTTTATACTACCCTTCTACCTGTATGCAAAGCGATAGACCGCCTACTCTAAACAGTAAATAATGAGAGCATCGGCTCGAAACGGGTATAATTGTGTGACAGTTTTGCGAGTTTAATACGGGATTAGGCGATAATTATAGATTGTTTTTTCCCCGATCATCTAAACACGTGCATATCTTCCCTAATTGATATACACGCGGTGTTTAACTCGAGTAATGGCGATGTGCGATGGGTTTTTCACGGCTATCACAAAACTGTTGGTCAATTAAAAATAATCAATTTCATTAATGATCAGCGACCGGATTAAAAACTTCACTATAGTTTTGAATGATTTCAGTCAGTTAACATGAATTAAAAATTGTTATGTCGCTCACATCATGGCTACAGGGCGAAATGCCCAAACCTAGACACCTACGCGAAAATTTAAGAAAGCCAATTCGCAAAAATCTTACGATTTATATGTTGTCAACAGTGAGAGTGTTTGACATTGTTATCTTTGTAAAAATGCCAAATTTGACACAGCTTAGGCTCCTAGCATGACATCCCGGAAAAACTACGAATCATGATGGGCATGCTACACATCGGTCGTATATCATGTGTACATGTATATAACAACAAAATTTGTCAGGAAAGAAGTTTTCTTATAGTTTCAATATATATATTTGTTCTTATGTCATAAATATGACCCTCAGATTAAGATTTATCACTATTGTAAATTTCAAAAAGCATTATTTGTAAAGATATTACGAGATAAACATTTCATGAAAATAAAGGGAGGTAATTAGAAATTTATTTTCTATAATTTCTCAGTCAAATTTTTCAATAAGAAATGAATGTATATAATTTTAGTGATCAAATATAATGTGCACAAATGTTTGCAGTACATATTTTACATATTCTTCGATGTTTGAAAATTGTTTTATAAGCATAATTATATGCACATAAATGTGACATTACAACATACAAAAGTACAAGATCACAGAAGAATTTCTGTAATCATTCTTACAGAATAGACAGATATTTTTAAGCAATATCCAATGTAACCTAAACTTCTATTTAAAGTGAGGAAAGTAATATTATGAATTTAATTTATTCATCATACTTTTTCTTACACTTTAATTACAATAAATCTACATGAAAATATATAAACAAATATTTAGAGAAAGCTTATAAATAGCTGATAAATAGATTGTGTTTTTATTATAGTTAAGGATGTATACCCATGCATGTTAATGCATACACATTGGGTTGTTTCCCTTCTCCTTATTTTTCGCGAGTAAGTCACTTCTCCCTAAAATTTCCCCCCAGGATGAGCCCTGTTCTATATCTACTTTTTAGTCTTTATATATGACAAAATATTAAAATATCAGTATTTTTAACCAGTACACCTTTACGGTTACCCTCTACATAAATCTGTATAATCAATTAAAATGGTCTTTTATCTAAATCTTATAGTAAGGCAAAAACCGAGGCCATGACTTCAAGTCAGTGACTAAGCTTTTATCAAAATACCAGAGATAACATTTATTAAGTACATGTACATACATCCATTCCATTCTACTAACACATGCATCAATCCATAATTTCCAAATATATAATATGAATCTACAAATACATGCTTTAAAATTTACCTTTGCTAGTAATCGAAAAATATGATTCTAAAAATAGATCAATGAAATGACATGTTAACTTTTTTATTTATGTTTTTTACTTTCTTTATAATTTGGTCTAAAGTAAACCTGTTATAATCGTAAATATCATATGGAGCCAGGCAGCATCACTAATGCTCCATACACTAGCTGGATAAATTCTTTACATGAAAAGAATCCAAAAACCCTGTCAGGGTTCATACCCACAGCACTGAGGGACAAGTGATTTAAGTCAGTGATCTTACACCCTCAGCCACAGAGGTCTCATTTTGTATCAAGCATGGCAGTCCTACCAGACCATATACTGATAACTGCAAAAGTTTTGCATTTTGATATCTTGAACTAACTCTGGACAGCTTAAAATCCAAAGTAAAAAGCAACCCTCTTGCACAGGTACAGATGTTAGGATTAAATGACAAGTGTTACCATTTTAGCAAACACAGAAACTATTTGAGCACACTTTTACATGTATTATGATATAGCAAAGACCTTATGTCTTTCCATATCTTCAGAATTTTTTTCAAAAATCAATATTAAAACAATTGTCCAGATAAAAAAGTCAGTCTCCAGTAAGTCTAATATATTAAAATATAGGTAATTTAACTGACAATTATATATGAAGAGATGATACTCACTGTTACTTATATCTCTATCAGCTGCCCTGAATTCATCATTCACATATCTGTCCAACATATTTCTGTAATACAATAATTGGACAAAATAGTTCACTAACAAGTATGACTATTATATGCTTCTTTTTATGTCAAAGTATTTTGTAACATTGCACGTAAGGGGAGCGGTGGCCTAGAGGTTAAGTTGTCTGCCTCTCAATCCAGAGATCATAGGTTCGAGCCTTACTTGGGTCACAACTATGTTTCTTCATATGACACCAGTATGGTTGGTTCCTGGACTTGAAAGTGATTAATATAAGTTGCAAGAACTTGTTTCGCAATCTAGCTTAAATAAATGTGTTTAAACCAACAATGCAACCACAAAGAATACACTCTTTTTTTTATACAATTAAACAGCAAGGTAATATAAAAACTGGATAGCTTCCTCACATGACATCATTCTACTTCTAAATGGAAAGTAAACCCATGGTGACAATTTTACATTAACATGTTATAACCATAAAAGCACTTTGTGCAATTTTTTTTTATAATATACAAATATTTTAAGGATTAATCTAGAAACAAACATACCTGTTAAAATTTGGGAACATATCAGTAAATAAATCTCGTAATTCTTCTTTGTCAATCTCATTATTCTTGTCCTGAAATATAAACAGAGGATGTACTGTCTTGAAATGCATCAACTCTAATTAATAAATACAATAATATTTTAAAATCTGCACAATTTAGGACTTGTTAATTGACAAATGAAGTTTTAGACATGTCCATATGACACTGCATCTGTTTCAGTTTATGTTTTTGGGTGAATTTTACAGTAACTTTATATCAACCCATATCAGACTTTCAATTAGAGAAAAACTGCACACAGTAAGGTAGCATTGTCACAATTAACAACAACAGACACTCCAGACATCTTCAGTCATGTCCAAACTTGCTGAATTTGTTAAATCAACTTCTGCAGTTTCCATTTTTAGAGCTATCCATAATAATTAAAGGGAAATCAAGATGAAAACTTAGTCAGTATTTTAACAGTACAAAGCTTACAAGGCTGTGCAATCTGGCCTGGCTCTATACTGGTGGGAAAAGATTTTTTTTTTTTTTTTTAGTTCCAGCAGGTTAAGAATTTAATCAGATATTTCTGATCATAAAGTAAGCTCAAGAGAACTTAATGAAGCTTAGTACAGCATTTTATATGAATAACACAGTAAAAATTCAAACTTACTCTGTCATAATATTCAAATTTCTTTCTAGCATCTGCCAGCTGTTTTGGAGTGAGTTCCTGTAATAATATCCAAATTGAGCGGCATAAAACTTCAACGTCAGCATAAAATTATTTCTTTATCAATTTTCATATTGAATATTCTCTTCCTGTAACTTGTTTTTATATATATAAAAAAATGATATATAAATCAAATATAAGTAAGATAATAAACATTTTAAACTTCAGGCTTAGGTATAGATTTAAGATCAAGTACAAGTATTCATTTATTATAAGTAATTTAATAAACGTTTAAAAGGACATTGTATTTAAATCTACTGGTAATAAAAATAACAGTTTAAAATACAAGTGTCAAGAGTGTTTCAAGTAGCACTTCAGAAAAGAATGATATATCTGTAATATGTCCTAAAACATTTATTCAAGAAACTGTCTTCTTTTTGCTTAGGTGACTTTGTAAAAGGCCAAGACAAAGCTTAAAGAGCATCCTGCATGGATGTTACAGGACAAGTTTGAAGAAATTTTCATTACAGCAGATCACTGATTAGGGATCACATCAGTAGAGAGACCTTACTACTTTACCTGTTGAACCTGAACATTAAGGTTCTGTTCTTTTATCCTAAACAAAATTTTACCAAAATATTTGATAAAAGCTTAAAGAAGTATTAATTAGATGATATATATAAGAAGGTTTAAGAGAGACAGTGTTTACCTGAGGTATAGTGGTGTGTGCATCAGTTTCCTGTTAGTGCAAGAGAAAAACAACATTACAGAATATAACAACAGTATTAGTTAGTGTGCAATACAACTATATGAACCAGGAAATATATAATTTACTATTGTACCTGTATTTTTCAAGGCCAATTATCTTTTTTTTCAAATTAAATTACTTGCAAGTTTTGATCTAAAAAAATTTGACAGTCTTTTAGACTTTGCATAAAAAAACCCATAATTTTCCTTCCTAGTCTGTACAATTATTAACCTGTGCTTATCCTAACCTGTGCACTGACCCTAACCTTCATATTTATCCTAAACTCTGTACCTGTCATAACAAAATCGTAACTTTAAAATCAGCAGCAACAGTAAATGATTGCATGACCAGCATTTCCGGCTCCTGTTTTACTGATAGAGAGTTCATTCCAAGTAAAACAAAATGTAATTTATGACAATAATAATTATTTCCAAAATAAGCAGGTATCATTATAAAGTGGGTGGGGTACTAATTAGATATTTCCTGGTCCATGCACAAAAGTAAGAAGCAAACAGAATCACCACAATTTCATTTTTTCTCACTTAAAATAAAACTGTTATGACTGAAAATATTTTTATCTAAAAATTTTAATAAATAATTTTAATAGGACCTCAAAAACATGCTGTATCTCAACAAGTGTTCATAAAAAAATTCAACAAATATCTTGGATAATTCATAACTCTAAGTTCCATCTATTCTCCTGAGGTGAGGGGGTCAGGATTAAAATTAACTGGTTCCTTATAATGACTGCTGGAAAAAAATGTCAAAAAATTGAAAATATATTATCTACATCTACTGAGCTGAAGTAAAACCTAATTGACTTGAACGTTTATCGTTTTAAGGAAGTCAAAATCTATTTTCAGAAAATCAAGGTCCATTTTTACTAAATTAACATCATTTTTTTAGAAAATCAACATATATTTCACACAGATCATAAAAGGAAGTTAAGTTAAAGAGGAAAGTAACTGGATTAAAAAGAAAACAAGAAATTTCCAATTAAACACATAGAAACAAAAAGAACTGCAACCAAAGTTTATAAAATTGCTTACACCAGATTTTCCCTGTAAATCAAAGACAACAAGTATATAAAAATGCATGTGTTTCAAAGTTTCTTCTAACAATCTCACTAAAGTATTATATATTATCTAAACAGCTTATATTATCTAAATGGTGTGCCAGTTTAACAATGCTCCTATATTACAGTTTACTTAATATTGAACAAAAATTAAGCTAACTAATAATGGACCCATAATAACAAGCATTTGATAGTATTGCGGGCAATACAGTAGTCCCCTACCGGTCCCTCAAAAAGTTCTTTAATTGTCATACACTCCTGTGTATTGCCATTTATAATGAATTTGAGGATGAAGTCTGTATTTGAAAATATCAACCACAAAACATAATAAAATAAGTTTGTCTATATCACAGTAATGTGTTAAGTTTCCATGCTTAGTAAGGAAATTATGTTTATACAACCTTGTCATATTATTACGATGTGGGATTTTAAAGTAAATCCTATAAGGAATGAAGAAGTTGGAGTGAAAATACCAGTTTCTCGAAAAAAATCTAAGTTAAAGGGGGACATAATTCTGGAAATAGTCTTGCTAGAGTATTTAACCTTCTCAAAAATGTCGAGTGATAATAAGAAACATATATATGAAGTTTGAAGTAGATACATTAGGAAATAAAGAAGTTATTTAAAAAAGACAACATTTTTTCCCCTAAAAAATCTAAGTTCAAGGGAGGTAATACTGATATTTTTTGTGCTAGAGTTATAAACCTTGTCACATATGATGTGGTTGATGACCAGAAACTTATATTTAAAGTTTGAAGTAAACACCTTAAGAAATAAAGAACATATAGTGAAAAAGCTGAAAAATTTAAATCAGAAATCTTGAAATTCAGGCTATTTGTTGCCATAGCAACCAGAATTTTCAACATAGGAAGAAAAGAAAAAGATGTGCATAATCTCCAGACTGCCATCTACCCATATTTCAAGTTTCATAAAAATATTTTCAGTACTTTTTGAGTTATCACTGGATCCAGTTTATGTGTTAAATTTGCCATATTTTCAGACTATTTGTTAATATTTAAAAAAATCTAAGTTAAAGGGGGACATAATTCTGGAAATAGTCTTGCTAGAGTATTTAACCTTCTCAAAAATGTCGAGTGATAATAAGAAACATATATATGAAGTTTGAAGTAGATACATTAGGAAATAAAGAAGTTATTTAAAAAAGACAACATTTTTTCCCCTAAAAAATCTAAGTTCAAGGGAGGTAATACTGATATTTTTTGTGCTAGAGTTATAAACCTTGTCACATATGATGTGGTTGATGACCAGAAACTTATATTTAAAGTTTGAAGTAAACACCTTAAGAAATAAAGAACATATAGTGAAAAAGCTGAAAAATTTAAATCAGAAATCTTGAAATTCAGGCTATTTGTTGCCATAGCAACCAGAATTTTCAACATAGGAAGAAAAGAAAAAGATGTGCATAATCTCCAGACTGCCATCTACCCATATTTCAAGTTTCATAAAAATATTTTCAGTACTTTTTGAGTTATCACTGGATCCAGTTTATGTGTTAAATTTGCCATATTTTCAGACTATTTGTTGCCATAGCAACCAGAATTTTCAACATAGGAAGAAAAAAAAAAGACGTGCATAATCTCCATACTGCCATCTATTCATATATCAAGTTTCATAAAAATATTTTCAGTACTTTTTGCGTTATCGCGGGATCCAGTTTTGTGGACGGACGGACTGACGGACTGACAGACTGACAGACAGACAGACAGACAGACGGACAGACAGACGGACAGACGGACGGAGGGTAAACCTAAAGTCCCCTCCGGTTAAACCGGTAGGGGACTAACAAGCAACTCTTTCCATTCTTTTAGTATAATTACCATTATTTTTATACAGTTTTATACTCAACAAGTCAAAGTACTAATCAATATGTAGGCATGGTCAATATGTAGACATAGTCAAAGCATTGATTATAGGTCCATTTGTATATTTACATGTATATTTTAATCTATCTAATTGTCTAAGTCAGCTTTTTCTACATGTGTCCATGTTTCTCTTTAATTCACTTATTTCAACTGTTAAAGTTAACGATATGATTTCGACTTTGTGGAAACTACAGCAGTCTGAAGCCTAGTTATGATTTATTAACTGTATAATATTAACATTTATATTTAGCAAATCATACCTCGATGCCTATAGGTCTTCCCACACTAGTTTTCTCCCCTTGAGGTCTCTTCAATATTTCAGCAAGAAGAGGTACTTTTGGTCCTCCAGTGTTCTCAGATATATTGAGCTGTTTAGCCAAGGTATTTCTACCTTCATATGTTGTGTTCTGTAAATAATAAATGAGCAAAATGTAATCTGATGGAAACTGATACCTTGGTATTTTCTGAAAGTATTAACACAAAAAAACATACATAAACTGGTAAAGTCTTAATATGAAGATAAATTGTTCCATGTATTAATCACACTGGCTTGACATGTACTTGTAGCAATGTTTTGATTTTTCATAATCACTTTGTTCCATTACAATTTAATATCAAACAATATACATATTTATTCTCTTATTAATTTTCTAAGCATTTCATATAATGATAATTGATGACTTGTGTATACCATGTACTAGAGAACTTTAAAAGCCATCACATCCCAACCACTTCCCTGCAGTTATAAGATTTGTAATTGACAACAAAATAATTGTTTTTTGTTACAAAATTCATCTTAAGTTAGCCACTCTTATTTATTTGTTTAATAAACCTCCATAATGTAGAAGCCTTTAGCGTTTCAAACAGTTGCATTAAATTATTAAAATTTTCAACATAATTGTAGACATTTCTCTCGTTGACAAAAATAAGTAAACTACGTGAATATACTTACACAACCAGACTCTGGTTCAAAGACAGCTTGTGTAAACTCTAGATTAAAGAAATCAAGGAATTCCCTCACTAGTCCTACTACAGCTTGACCTAAATATTACAAAAAAAGAATGACAATATTATACAAGCTAATACTTTTTTATTATTATTATTGAATTCTGTGCAAAGAAAACACCCAAAATTACAGTTTTATCTATGCTGATGGAGAAGGATATAACATACCCCTTCATGAAGTATTTAACATACAAGCTGGTTAATGTACATGAAGCTAGATAGAATACCAACCTTCTATAAGCTAAAAATAAATACTTCATGGAATGATCTTTAAATTACAGAATGCATACAGTTATACAAAGAACTGAAGATTGTAACAAGTTTACAACTTTGTTTTGGAGATGAACTTCAAGTTGACTTGACATTTCTATTTCAAAGACTGAAATGAATTTAACATACTGTTTAGTATATATATACTCAGTATCTACTCAATTTAACCTTATATCATCATATGCAAAGATTCATAACTCTTTTATAGTACCTCAGACAATGTAGAAACAACAACTGTAAACTATGTTATAAGGCATACTTGAATAGACAGCTGAAAGTTTAAACATGAACTTGTCCATCTTTTACTTTCAGCATACTGTAACCATTTATCATTTAAAGGTAAAACCTAAATAATTTTATTATTGACTGAATAGCAAACAGTGTAGACTACATGTAAGGTCAGATCATGATCTGACTGTATAGATGTACTGTCTGATCTTGGTCTGCACTGGTTGCAAGAGAATATTATACATTCACCGTCAACAGCCTAAAGGTTTAACAAAATGATTACCTTCTTTTGTTGTTACAAATTTGTTCAGGTCTGGATTCTGGAATGGTGTTTTATTCTGAAAAAAGCAATAAGGTGTTTTGATGAATTCACAAAATAAAATGTATTCATTTTATTTTTTACTGAAAAACACTTTTCAATTAGATAACTTAAGCAAGCATTCACATCATGCTACAAGTGCTTATTAAACATTTTGTTTGTAAATTAGCAGGTACAAATGTAGCTGATTACCTGATTACTTCCAAATATTTCCTTGTACAGTAGGCTTACTTATAATTTTCATAATGTTTAAATGTGAAATACATCATATTTATTTACATATAATTTATGCAGAAAATAACTAAAAGTTAGTAATTCACCTGAATGGACTCCTGTTCTTCTAGTGCTAAAAACACACTAGCTCTCAGCTGAGCCTGAAGTAGAAAAAAATATCATCCATTATAATGTATTACTTTAATGTTTCTGTTGTTTTGAAAGTAACTGTTGTTTTGATATTCCTATTTAAAACTAAATTTTCACTCCAGCTTATTCTAACAATACACAACCAAAAACCTTCCAACAAATGTGACTATGCCACATGGGCATTATTATAAGGTCACTGAGAATAAATGTTCAGGGAGGTTAGGGAGGGTAAGTGGGGCAAAAAACCTTTCAACATTGTGAGTGTGACTCATCATAATATATCTCAAGTCATTTCAAATGCAAGTGACTGATTCTTTTTCTGCAGAAAAAGTTGATCATAATCTACATATTTGCAATGTACATTTTCATATCTTCTTCCCAATTTGCTATATTTCAATCCCTGTCATTTTGTTTTAAGTCACACTTCAGCTTTTACCAGTCATTAGGAAGACTTAGGATGCCTCTTCGTAAATTAGTAGTGAGTACCTTAAGTTAGAATCATCAACCATCCACAAACAAGATAAAAGAATATTTGAACAAATTTTCTGTATGATATATTTTTATAAACCATTAACTGAAGCTCACATAGGTAAGTTACTCTAGAAGAGTGTGATTAAGACTTCTTTTCTTGAGTCAAAAGACTATGCCAGACCATGGACTATGCACAGACTCCCTGTATGATCTTGCGTGCTCTGGTCGCGTAAAAAAGCTTACTGATTAAATTCTGACTTTATAGTTATTATCATCAATAGAACATTATCCTCACTCATTACATACATGAAATGTAAATGCATATTTCAACATGCCTTAATATATTAATGTTTAACATGTATTATATGATGCAAATTGTGACCATGTTAAGGACTGGACATAAACAGTTGATCTTTAACAAAACCAAACAAACTTTACAAATAAAGCAATAGGATTTTTTTCTTATACAAATATATTTATACTGATCCTTAAAATAAATACAAAGCAACTTAGCAAGGCATTTAGACAGTATTAAACATGTATTACAATGTATACTGACCTTCTGTCTGGTTTGACCAATTATAATATTATGGTGAAAAGGTTATTATAAGTGGTCAAACAGGTGGTTATTTCAGAATAGCATAAAGGTCTTTATCCTTTAACTTTTTCTTAGTGGGTCAAATAAAATTTGTGTTACAAAATATTACAAGACAATGATCAATGGATAATGAACTATAAGAAAGGTTAATTTCTTTAATAAATCTCAATTATAAAGGTTCAATGAAATAATATGCCAAGCTTTTGAAATTTTATCATCAGATCAGGTCTTGTTTAGTGAAATCCATATCAGATAAGTACATGTATAAATTCATACAAAATATATCTCATATACATAACAATGTTACAAGAATGTAATAAGACACATACATTTTGTTATAACATTTAGCTTGCTGGGACTGAAACTGATTTGCTGTCTGTGCAATCAGCCAGGCTGTTTAAGTAGCTACATTTTTGTATTTTAATGCTGAAATCTGTAAAACATTTAGAATACTCCGAATTCAAAACAAGGCAAATCCAATAGATTGTATTAATTCAGTAACTTCATCACTTTCTACTTGTTATGATTACTAAGAAAGCATTTTTGTTGCTCCTGGACATACCTGTGACATATGTTTAATATGTAAAGTCACCAATACATCAACTGATCAAGTGACAATGCTGAAGATTCATAACTATGTACAGATATTTATATTTCCATATTTATAAAGGTCCATCTATAGACATATTAGTTATAAGATATAGTCACCATACTGCTTCAAATGTTGTTACATACAATTTATAATGTTAGGGCGAAATCTTCATGATAAACACTTCTAGCTTTAAATAATAAATTCTCTTTACTTAAATAAGCAACAGTTTCAAATTCAAACCAGGGACCAAGTACATTTCACAAATGTAATGAAAAAGATATTGATTAAAGAGAACACATTGATTAAAGAGAACAGCAATCTGTGGTAAACAAAGCAATTGTCATTTTATACACTCTGCATGTCTGCAGTTTCCATTTGGGAATTAGACAATTCTAGTAAAAGTGAGATAAAAGTTATGCAGTATTTCTTTCTTATCTTCCTGATTTAATGCAAAGGACTTTTTGTGTTGTTTTTTTTTTAAATTTGGAACTGCCAGAAAATTTAATTTGTATACATCATTCATCTAAACTTGAAGAAAGATTAAATCTTTTCTATAGTATTGATTTCTGGAACAAACTTGGAATGGTTTAATAGTAAGTTTGGCCATGATCCTCTGTCTAGAACTCAAACTGATGATCCTAGATCACCCAACAACCTGGTCAACATGTTGTTCTACCCCACTCCCCTTTATTTCTTTCCAGCTCATTCTTTTTAGTTAAAAATGAAGATTTTTACTGTGTTACATTTATTATATTATAACATACATTATGATTGCTCAGAGATCATACTTATCTTACTATAATTAACTTTTGTATTTTAATATTCAGAAGGTAAGACTGGTAGATAAACAATATAATTAGCATAGTCATGTAACTTTACGTTTGGTTCAAACTATAAAAAAAACCCATCAAAATGACAGCATAAATATTTCAAAATGACCTTATTATAAAATTCTTTGTACAAAAAAAACCAGATAATAATTCTATTACATATACAAAAGATCTGATTATCTATGACATGTTATTGTTACTATGTTTATAAAATATTTGGATTGAAGAATCAAATATATAGCAAGATAAAGCCTGAAAAAGGCATTATGACATGGTGTGAACACGCAAAATCAATGTTTAAATGTATCAATATAAATGATAAAATATTTCAAGTTTTTATCATAAGTTCATCTAGTGATTTGTAAAGAATCTAACAGCATGACTGAACTATCATCAACCTATCAGTAATCCAAATAGTTTATACTTTGATTGTGAGGTTTCGACCGATTTAATTTGCAATCAAAACAAAGCATAGTCTTGTGTCATTTAAAAAAACAAAACCTAACGTTTTTATTTTGGTATGTAACTTTAGCTAAGTGTAATTAATTTTACATGTATCTTTTAATTATAGTTTTACTGTTTGTATTACAAAATGACTCTTCTTTATTCAGTTCAATGTGAAAACTTTTAACTTTTTAAGACTAAATCTTCTTGATACATGTCTGTGAAACAGTCCACTGTCCATTTCTGGATAGTTAACTGCTTATTTTCTATATAGAGATAAATTTGAATTAAAGATCACATTGACCTTGACCTTTAACCATTTCACACAACATGAGCTATCAAAGGAGACAGCATGCTCAACTAATTAAATATTTGATGCAATAAAGAAAAACAAAACCATAAAAACATCAGTTATAATATTAATATATTTTTATAATCAATACCAATGAAGTACTCAAATGTCAAACTTTTTTGCACCACATAGCATGCACAGCAAAAAAAATTTATTTCTCAGAGAGATCAACTGGGGCCCTTAAAACAGAAATATATATAAAATAAACTAAGAAATATACTCAGAATGGATTAAAAATTGTATGTTTGTGCTATTCTTAGCCCGATTTAATTTAGGGTTATTTTTACAATTAGGATAATTATTGTTCTGGAAAAACAGAGCAGGCTAATGACCTGAAATTTTGCACACAAGTTGATAGTCTAGACCTACATCAAATGAAGTAATAATCTCGAAAAATTATTTCCTATCCTGTCATGTAAAAAAACCTCAGTGGAGTCCCTTTAATATTAAAAAAATTGACACACTCACTTTGTTTCCTCTCCAACTTTACATTGTAGACATACACACTAGGATATAAGTTGAATAAAACTTTGAAAATATATTTCTTAACTTTACACAAATGCTAAGCATAAACAATTAGTTTTGAATTCGCTATTATTTAAGATAGAAAAAAAATCCTATGGATAAACAAGAAGCGCCACAATGCGACGAAAACCAGGTTTTCAACGAGCAAGTTTTGATGTGACAGCAATCAATAGGTCAAAGTGCACTGAAGTTATTGAGTAGATACTGAAAATTCTATTGTAAGCAAATTACCTTGACCTTGCTCCCAGATATCTAAGTGGCAATCCAAAGCTGCCACTCAGCAAGTTCGGTGACACAAGGTCAAAGCAAACTCAAGTTATAACATGAAAACTAAATGCATAAACCTTGATCACAGACACCTGGGTAGCAATCCCAAGCTGCCTCTTGATATAAGCTACCCATTCATCAAGTTTGGCGTCAATAGGCCAAAGCAAACTCAAGTTATTGAGCAGAAAATGAATTTCTATTTTTAGTAACAGTGACCTTGACCTAGATCACAGACACCTGGGTAGCAATCCCAAGCTGCCTCTTGATATAAGCTATCCATACACCAAGTTTGGAGTCAATACGCCAAAGCAAACTCAAGTTATTGAGCAGAAACTGAATTTCTATTTTTAGTAACAGTGACCTTGACCTAGATCACAGACACCTGGGTAGCAATCCCAAGCTGCTTCTTGATATAAGCTATCCATACACCAAGTTTGGTGTCAATAGGCCAAAGCAAACTCAAGTTATTGAGCGGAAACTGAATTTCTATTTTTAGTAACAGTGACCTTGACCTAGATCACAGACACCTGGGTAGCAATCCCAAGCTGCTTCTTGATATAAGCTATCCATACACCAAGTTTGGTGTCAATAGGCCAAAGCAAACTCAAGTTATTGAGCAGAAACTGAATTTCTATTTTTAGTAACAGTGACCTTGACCTTGATCACAGACACCTGGGTAGCAATCCCAAGCTGCCTCTTGATATTACCTATCCATACACCAAGTTTGGTGTCAATAGGCCAAAGCAAACTCAAGTTATTGAGCGGAAACTGAATTTCTATTTTTAGTAACAGTGACCTTGACCTTGATCACAGACACCTGGGTAGCAATCCCAAGCTGCCTCTTGATATTACCTATCCATACACCAAGTTTGGTGTGAATAGGCCAAAGCAAACTCAAGTTATTGAGCGGAAACTGAATTTCTATTTTTAGT